AAAATGGCAGCAAATTTGGGATGTTCAGCTTCAAAACAAGTTAAGACAAGTAAAACCTAGAATTGAGCATTGGGAATCTACCAAAAATCGTAAGGAGGAAGTTCTTTTGATTCGCCTCAGAATTGGTCGCACTAGAGTGACAATAACTACCTTTTAAAAGCTGAGAATGAGCCTGTTTGTTCAAATTGTAATGTTTGTCTATCTGTCCATCATATTTTAATTGAGTGTCCCTGTTTTAACAGTCTTCGTCAGAAATATTTTAATAGCTGCGACTTACCTCTCGACCGTTTAATCGGAAGAGAGGTCAATTGTAATTTATTTTATTATTTAAAAGAGACTGGCTTTTATTACCTAATGTAAGTTGTTTGAAAGACTGTGTCTTGAATTTTAATGTATGCTTTTAACTTATGTTTATATGACTTCATCATCTGGATTTAGTGCATTTATCCATTTGTTTTTATTTATTTGAATTTTAATGTCATAAATTGTAATCACCCCATCTTGTGTTTGGCGTGTCATAATCATCTCTGGTTTTGCGCCATAATCACTCACTCACTCACTCACTCTAATCTTTAGATCAAAATCATAGCAAAAAAAAGACATTTTTTCTTTCAGAGTGAAAAATAGAAACAGCTTTAGATGCAAAATGCTTAATTTTTAATATATCACCTTATCTCATTCTCATCGCAAAATTACTGATGGGAAATTTTTATAAATTTGGTAACATATTGCGGTTAACTAGCTACAGAAGTAATGAATTATGGTATCCCATATTAATGTATGTTAGAATGAAATCAAAATGATTTGTTTACCATTAAAAGGAAATCTTTTCCATATTTGTGACAAATATTTTAATAAACATTGATCTCTGACCGGTGATAAAAATGATAATAATTTACATTAATTATTAAATGAAATTGTAAAGAAAATTATGACAAAACAAAAGTTATCTCACGTATAAATACAAGAAGAATGAAAAGCAGGAAATACATTTTATTTATTTAGAAAATTTAGGCTACATGGGTATAAAATTTTAAAATACAGTTCCTAAAGTCCTATTTATGTTCACTAAAAGAAAGAATATAAAAGAATTTTAGTTTATACAACGCATATTGATATCTTCCGGAAATGTAATTTACCTTTTTCCAATACAATTGGACGAAAGTTATTAAACAAAATTTCAGACTTTTTTTTTTTGAATTTCTGGAGAATGTCTTTAAATTAAAGATACTATTAAAATCTTTAACACGGAAGTAAGACTTATCATTGAACATTGTTTTCTCTATAAACGTTAAATGTTTTCGCTTTCAGAAATACCACGTGGTAAAAAGAAATGATCCAAATCCTCCAAAGAAAGCTTCTTTTCTAGGGAAGGCAACGTTTCTATTGGACATCAAGGGAGTGGCCCTAATTTTAGCAGAATTGTATGCTATTATTAACTCACACAATACATATATATTACTTTACTTGTCACGGTTTTTTTACAACCGTTAAAGACCATAAAATTATATATGCAAATGGAGTAAAATTACCTGGTACAGTTGGTATTTCCTAGGTAGAATAGATCTCGAGTAGACAGTTGAATACTACCTTTGGTCACCAGAAGGGAACACATGATGGTCATGGGATCCTCGTTTTAAAATGCGCTTAGTAGCTGTAGTGTCGCCATTCTCCAAAGATAGCTTCGTCGTGCCGACGAGTTTTTTTATATCCTGCAAAGAAATGTATTTTAACAAAATGCTTCCATTAATATTTACTGGAAAAAAAAATTTCTTTTTAGATAAAATAGCCTAAAGAATTCCTTGAAGTTTGGAAAACAAGACAGCAAAAGGAAATAATGCACTCACTATCAGTAAATATATAAAAATTACTGCTTTGTGCAATTTTTCAAACCAGTGTAAGGTTTAGTACCTTTCAAAAATCAATTAAAACCTTCCTACATATTTACGAAGCCACCACCTATAATAACAGACTTAATTAGATACTTGTATTATATTACATATTAACAGACAATTTCGAAAACCTGGAACAATGAAACCTATTCATGCGATGTCCTACTTCTAACTAAAATAAAATATTATTTTAAGTAACTCCGGCTTACATTTAGCACACATCGACTGCCCAACTCTATTTATTTTTCTACTTAGAAAAAAAAATTACTACTACTTTTCTACTTAAAAACAAACTACACAAGTTTTCTTGTGACATAGCAGCAATAAGCAGAAAGGAAATTTTCAAATTACGCGTCAGCCTCTCTATAATATGTAAGGAATTCCAAATGAATCAGGAGTCTTGCTCCCGCTTATTTGCGCTTACTTTCAATATTTATTACACGTGTAGAAACCTGTTTTGGAGGTTTCGTTTTTGCGGAAGCCTCTAGAACAGGGATACCTTGTAGTTTTGGTGGCAACCCTGTAGCTTTGCTGCACAAACCAATCTACCAGTGTGATTCAGGATGCCACACTGTAGGATATGTTTGAAACAATTCAATTTCCGGAGCCCTTCATACAGAGTTAGGGAATAGAGGTCAAGAATACAGATTTAGTGTTTTATTATACAGTCAAAAGTCGTTAATTCGGACACCCATAATTCGGAATGATCTATAATCCAGACTTCAAAACTAAAAACTTTCTGCGCATGCGCCGCGTTGACACATGCGCATAGGCATTTACGCGTGCACGTAAGACCTTTTACGACTGCGCATATGAGTGTGCGCAAGTGCAGAATACGTTTTCGCGTGCGCGTTTTATGTATAATGGACGTATAAGCTAAAATTATCTAATTATCTATTTCAGTTAATGTTGATGATTGCGTTGTTCCTTAATTTTCGAATTGGATCCGGCTTATTATTTTTTGCAGACTGTAAGAGCAATTTTATAAAAGTAAGCTCAACTTTCGATTATATCAAATAGAATTTCCGATATATATTTGCTAATATGTAAAGGATCTAAAGTGAAAGTATGTTTTGAAATCCGAAATCTGTTTATCAATTTCACACTGCTCGGCGGGGGGAACGCCGCGGCGGGCGCGTAATGAATTGGAAGTTGATCTGTCAGCACTATCCTTATCTTCAGTGCAGATGTTTTTATTTTATTTGACTTATAATTCCTTACCAAATGTATTTCATCTCGATATGCTCCGTCTTTGATATGATTTAAAACAAGTTCCTCGTCATTATAATTTGCTTCCGATAGCGAAGAAAAGTGACAGTTATTGAAAACGAAAAAATTTCGATTGACAAATTAGTCGGTGTTCTCGACACAGCAATTATAGGACTTGAACAGCGGAACTTTGTAACTGAACAAGAAATTATGTCTGTTTAATAGAATTAAAGAGAAAGTATTATCACATGAAACGAAGCAAAACTTAAACAACTTACATTGAAAGAAATGTTTAATAAAGTAAACAAATAAATATTAAGCTTTTTCTTTTTGCAAATTTTGATACCCTTTAGATCATAATTGTTCTTTATTTCATAAATTATGGTTTCATATTTTTAATTTTAGAATTTCTGCATGCCATCTTACGAGATTTAAACTGATCATCTATAATCCGGAAAAATCGATAATCCGGAATCGCCGAAGTCCCGACGAGTCCGGATTAACGACTTTGGACTGTACACCAGATATGCAGTTATAGTTTAAATGGGCATGGCTTGTCATGACCATAAGACCAACTTGTTTGGTTAGGCGGGTCGGGCTGCACCCACTACTGATACTGATAAGATATGCAATATTTAAAGATATTTAATAGCATAAAAATAAACCAACATAAATAAGTAGATATTCTTTCAAACTAAATAAAAATGAAAATTATAATTGTATTATGTTTTACAAAACACATTTATTTAAATAAAACATAAATAACATAAAATAAAATTTTTCCTTCAATACAATTAACAAAAATTTTAATTTTAATGCGAAACGTGTCCCTGCGTATCGCGATACTGGGGCGTCCATTCCCGTGTTCCTTGTGCAAGTCATTACGAATGATAGGGCTGATGAAATATTTCATGTAACTGATCTCTTGCTTTTGCAATCGCCGTAGAAAAGTATGCTTCGAAGAATCAAGTGCCACGGTGTTACAACTGTCAAAACTGGCACTATTCTTCGGCAAACTGTCATTTCTTGCCTAAATGTGTTAAATGCTCCTTAAACCACAAAACTGTGGACTTGCCCAAATAAGGGTAAAATGGAAGAACCTAAATGTGCGAATTGCCAAAAAAATCACGTGGTCACATACTGTGGGTGTGAGATGTTTCCAAAAAATAGATCAAATGCATCCAAAAAAGATAGAACTGTTAAAAAAGGAATTTCTTACGTAGAGATGGCTAGGAATCAGGCTAATTATTTTAATGATAATGCATTGGACTCAACCCTCATCGGTTTCTGCTGCATATAACGAGCCCTCAAAGGCTAATGATCCTATTAAATTAACTGATCTAAGTAACGCATTAAAAAATTTAAAATTTTTCAAATAATAGTAAGCCTAATAAGAGCTCTCCTGCTAATGTTATGAATAATTCACAGGAGAAATCACAGGGCTCTGAATTTCTAGAATTTATAAGAAATATCTCAGAATTTAGCACTATATTAGGATTTAATAACATTAGAATAATGAACAATGTATTTAAAAAATATTTACCAAAGCTTAAAATTTTTTCTGATGCTGTAGATAAATTATTTATGTTTTATGAAATAGTTAATGAAATTAATAGTAATGTCTCTGAGTAATAATAATGTGTCTCTTACTATTATAACATGGAACGCGAATGGATTGCTCCCGAAAGCTTAAGAGCTTAAGGAGTTTTTACATGACTTTTACCCAGATATTGTACTTCATACAAGAACACATGCTTGGCCCTCAAAATTATTTTTGTACATGCAACTACATCACTCATCGATGGGACAGGCCTACTGCTTGTAGATATGCCCCCAGAGGCAATGCATGACGTGGATTGCTAATTTTAATTAAGCGCTCCATTTCTCACCATGTTATACCATTACCACAGCTTTTAGCTATTGAAGCCTTAGCTATTACACTCACACCAAACACTGTGCGACCAGTCACCATTATCTCCACCTATTTTCCCATACACAGACCTGTAAATTCTGTGAAAGTAGATTTACACACGCTATTAAGCACTAACAATCCAGTCATTATAGGTGAAGATTTCAACGCACACCACCACGAGTGGAACTGCTGGGATATTAATCCACACGGATGCATAATACATAACTTCGCCCAAGCAGCCAATGTTAACCTAGCATTCCCAGTTAAACCAACACACTGTGGGATTCGTAGACCCTCTATTATGGATTTCTTCATATTAAGGAATATCAACTCTCCAAGCCAGGTTGAGAGTATGTCAGAATTATGTTCTGATCATAACCCAGTTATGATGGAAATTACTACCAATACCTACAGTACACCACACAAAAGAGCCCTTATTACTAACCGGGCAGGATATGCCAAAGCTCTAAGCAACACTCAGTACTCAACCAACACAATACAGTCGAGAAATGAGTTAGATGAATACACAGAAAAATTCACTGATGAAATGCACGAAGCATTTATGAAGAATAGCAAAGTTGCAAGGAAATAGGAATGGTATAAAATAGTGCTATTCGGGAACTGGGTACGAGAAAGGAAATGGCATGCATCGAAGACGTCCTTTGGCATACAAGCTTTGAGATGAATCAGCTTCGAATTAACGATTCAGGGCTCTGTTACGTAAACATCGGCACTTACTTGACTGGGCCAGACACTTAGAATCGCTCTCTACGCAGATGATAATTTCCTCTGGAGTGCGGTTTCTAAATTTAAACGACGCTACACCGGCATTCCGCCCATTAATGGCCCCAACGGGATCGCTTACACTGAATTGTATTTCTTCTGTGCTCATAGGTACGACTGGCATTTTGGAAGTGAGAATAAAGTAAAATTATTTTTGCTGTTATCCAGTGATAGTCGTATGAAGCATGATTCCAGTATTGTTAATAATTGGGTTTTTATTAGACATATACTATTATCTGAAATTCACTTGTTTATTGGGCACACTCAGCAATCTTCATTAAGTAATTAATTTTCGAAAAATTTAATCATATATACCAAACTCGTTATGAAATATTTTCAGTCGAAGGAAAATCAAAAAGTATGCTTGTCGTCTAAAATTTGTTTTCAAGTTTGCCGACGAGTGGCACCTAATAACAAATTAGCGAAATTCATTTTTTATGAGCTTTTCTTAATTTATAACATGTCATTGAGTTTAGAAAATAATAAATAAGACATAAAAAAAAAACGCCTTTTATGCAGTAAGCATTTTTAAAAATATTTTAACTAATGCACTAACTAAAGAAGAAAATAATTTATCATATATTTTAAACAGAATAGCAAATTAAATAATTCTTTTTAGATAATTCCTCTTCAATTTTATATCATGGATAACAAAAACGTGCGGTGCCCACAATATATCAAAATAGGATATTGGCTTATGAATTTTACAATGCGAATACTAATACAGAAAATTAAAAAAAACACAATGGGTTATACTTTTGAAATTGCAATTAAATTAATATTTTAGACCACATATGCTTTTATTGTTTGAGATACAAACTTGTACATGAATTCTCAAAGCAGATTTTTAATCGTCAAACTTTGCTTTAAACTATGTAATGAATTCTAGTTCTCCTTTTAGTGCATTAATTTTCACATCCATTTTAAATAAAATGTTATTTATTTATTACATTCATTTTATTATGAAAGCTTTGTTTAATCATAACTTATTTTACGTTTCCAAGTCTCAATTACATTCTTTGAATAAAAAAATTTTATATAAAATTAAAAACCCCACCTTATCATTATGTATGCTAAGTGAGCTACCTCGCTGTTTACTATTATTGTTTCATCAATGGTAGGCCATGCACCCAAAATCCCCTAGCAAATCAGTTAGTAAGATGAAAACGACCACTATGCGGACGAAAAATTTAGGGTAACTTCGTTTTGTGAGTGCCTTAAAGAAGACAAACATTACCAAAATCATTAAAACAATTTCAGAATCCTGTGCTAAAAAAAGAAAGCTGGGGGGAAAAATGTTGTCCTGAGTCCCAGTGATTCATTTGGACCGAATATGTAATATTGTTTTAGAAAATTTAAGGTAATAAATATAAATTCGAATTTTTCGAATGCTAAAACAGTTCGAGAAATTTATTCAAGTTCTGAATTCTGAATATAAGTAATACTGTATATTATATTTAATAACTATGGTGGCTTCATTTATGAAAATATTTGAATATTGGCTGTTTTTGTACAATGAACCTTCTGTAAGCTACGTGATTCCTGAAAATTTTGATCTTTAAATGATAGTGGGCATCCTAGAGAAGTTATGTTTACTAATTAGTTATTTTATGAGGAATGCCGGGTAAATTTAAAAAGTGGTTGACAGGGGTAGTTTGTCGTAATGAGATGGTTCACTGTAATCCAAAATTTTAAAGAATTTAATCTGTTCTTAATTTCTTAAGATATTATAAAGAAATATGATTAAAAGTGTTTATATAAGCATACGTTTAAAACATCTATTAAAATAATTTTTAAAAGCTTTTTAAGAGCATGGTTATGATTTTAAAAAAATGTTGTTTTTTTTCTTTATTTAGGAGGACATGGATTTACAAAGAGGGAAAAACATTTATTCATTTTTTCCAAGCAGGTCAAAACGAATTTTTACGAAATGTTATATTATGTTATTTTTTAATCAATTCCTTTTCAGGTTTTATGTAAAGTTTGTGAATTAAGTTATAAATTATTTTTACTTCTGTATTTCAATTAGCATGTTATTTGCTTCATAGTGTTTACATAAATGCAATAGTAAGGTACTTTTCACAATAAAATTATAAATTCAATAAACTTTCTTAATTAACATGCTGTAATATATATATATATAGGGCATAAAGTTTGTTTTCTGGTTGTCACGTGTATATTTCACAATTTTGTATGCAAATCTCGAACTTTATAATAATCAGGAATACTTTTTTAGTATCACTTTCTAAATGGTAAATATTAAGCTTAAATTTATTACATATCATGTTTGTAAAAAATTATAGGTAAAATAAAAATGCATTAAATTTTAAGATAAAGTGAAGTATTAATTTTTTAAACAAATTTGTTAAAGGGCATAATTGTATTAAGCATTAAGAATTTTAATGGAAGCAAGGCTTTGAAAATTAAAGTCAGTTGGTGAAGTTTTATACTTATTCAAAAAACATGACATTAGGCTTTTAATGTTAATTCAAAGGAAATTATTTGAAGGTAAGTTAAAAATGTTATGCATTTACCATCTATTATTTCAAACAATAGCAGACTGTTGACAAACATTAAGTGCAGATAAGAATAAAAAGATTAGTTGCACGTTGTAATGCAAGCTTATGAACAAAATTTTGAATTCTTTGTAGTAACAAATTGAAGTTCATTGCTATGTTGAATTCTTTAATTTACTGAAAATGTCATTTTTTAGAAGGAGAGAATATAATATTTTTGAAACATAAAGAACAGCTGTTCTGAGTTCTTCATAGAAATATTTCACAAAATGTCTTTTACAGTAATAATATGATCCTATCAACATGCACATACCTGCCAACCTCTAAAGATAAAAATTCAGAAGAGTTTTCCCCAAAATTCAGAAGAACACGAAGAATTAATATCATGCTTTGATATTAAAAAAATAACAATTTATACAAATAGAAAAAAGAAAATTGTACTTACATTAGTAAATCTCAATTAAGTAGTAACTAAAAAATTTATTAGGAAACATAAAACAAAAACTTAATGTTACACAAAAAAATTATTGCAATGAATTTAGAGTGCATTTTTTGGCTTTAGCCAAAAATTCTTTGGAAAATTTCCTGTCATAACAATTAGTTTCCTCATAACATTTAGCAATTAAAATGTTTTCTAGAGTTTTTGGTGAAATTGAAGAAGGAAACATAGTTTTGTTTATCTTCACAACACTGAAGACTCTCTCGCACTCATCATTACTGTGTGGAATTACGAGAATAGCTCATAAAACTCTTGCTAGTCTATCATATTTTGGTGTTCCATCAGCTCTTTTTATTCTTTTTAAGGTACCAACGAGGACATCAAGTCTATCTTCTCCAGAACTGGCAAAGTCTTCAAACTGTGCAGCAGAAAATTGGTTCTGTAGTTCATCTAAAGCATCATTATGGTATTCATTTTCTTTAATTGTTAACAAAAATGGAAATTTATCAATAAAAAAACGAATCTTTTCAAAAGATGAATTTTCAATTTCTTTTAAATTTGCCACTTCAGCATTTAAAAGAACTTCATTTTGCAAAGGAAACTTCCTTGCAATGTAATCACAGGCTGAGGAAAAGTACTTTCTAACACATTGAAAATATTCTTTTTTCTCATGATCTTTCAAAGAATTTACAAGTTCCCTGGTTTGATTTCCAATTATAAGATCATTGTCATCCTTTTGATTTGCCAAACTATTATAGGCAACACGAATCAACACACTGTTTTTCAAAACTGACGGTTTTACAAACTTAGTATAAAGTTCTTTCAAAAGATCATTAAGAATTTGGATAAGCAGGGGAGATTTTGGCAAAGCTGATTGTAAATGGGTATTTACACTTTCAAAAATCTTAATGGTACTTAACACAAAACTACAATATGCTTTGTTCAAATCCGAAGAAAGAAGATAGAAAATCCTTTCCTCCCGGCTAATAGAAGACTGTTTCTTCTTCCCTTCAACTTCTTTAACAAAGTTGACCTTTGAGGAGACTTCTAAGAATTTTCTTTTTAAAGGGTTTGATTCTGTGTGTTTGCTTTTCCCTTTTAAAGCATTTTGATTAGAAGCAAAGTTGGTTTTCGGAATCTTATATGCCGACAAATTTGATGGGATCTGGGGTTTTGTTTTGGTCTCTTCGTGGAAATATTTTAGTAATGCATCCCACTGTTCAATAAACCTTCCCAGCGCTCTGCCTAAGGATAACCATTTCGTGCATACATGTTTCAGAATTTTTCTCGTTTCACCAGAGAACAGTTCTTGGAAATTCTTT